CTTAGCTAAAGTATTGTATATCGGGTAGGGTATATCGAATTAACGTGGTTCAAAAACCTTCTTAATTTTAACTTAAATTAAACCGAGTGAAGCCAGCCACAGTCGAGCGTGTGCCTGCTGTACTACCCTATGTCAGAGGAGTCACAGACAAGGTTGGCTACATCTTGAAGCGAGCTTCCATTAAAACATACTTCAAGCCGCTGAAGAAGATTGGTCAATTTTTACCATCCGTCAAGTGTCATATCCCTCTACAAGATACAGGAGTGTACAAGCTGGATTGTGAATGTGGTCTCTCGTACATAGGACAAACAAAAATATCCATTAAAACCCGCGTTAAAGAACATATAGCTGACGTGAAGCACCGACGTATCGGGAAGTCTGCAGTTTGTGAACATGTTCAAGATCGTCCCCGCCATTAAATTAGATTTGATAGACCGCAAATCCTCGCAAAAGAACACCGATTCCTCCCAAGGATGATTCGCGAGGCTATTGAAATTAAAAAAACATCCTAATTTCAATAGAGAAGATAGATGGGTGTGGCCATCTGCTTGGGATCCCATAATTAATAAAATCAAATCCAAACCCAAGTATACCACCGCTAGACTTCAAGATATGTAAGCTCATTCTGCGTAAATTGAACCAAAAATTAATATTAAAAAACTGAAGGTAGCCGGGCTAACTATGACATCAGGACGTCAAACACCTCAGTCCCCCGTGACCACGGGTGCTGGAAAGCACCCGAAACGTCGGGAATATAAAATAAGTTAATATACGCGATAAAATCCGTAAAATTAGTTTTATTTAAATATTACAGCACTGTTTCATAAAATTTTTTGTTCTTTGGTTTAGCAAATCTAGGACAATTTTATCATTTTAGCAATTTTAATATTTATTACTTATATTAACACGCAACACATCATAAAAACGAGTAACCATTTCATCGACATCCCTGCATAATGTAAATATATTGAACCAATCAACACAATTCGTTCAACAATCCAAATGATTTTTAATAGACTCATAGATTAGCTTTGTGGAAATTTGGCCTAGGTTATTGGGATGGTTGTTAATGATTGATGGAGTGGAAAGTAATTTCAAATACAAGAGGTGGATGAAAAAGATCAATTAGCGGTTAATGCTTCGTCGACTCCACCAACACATCCGTTACTTTCTGATGATAATATTAAATCGAGCATTTTCGAGTTTTTGTTTTGAACTGCTTAAGATTATTTAAGGCCATAAACTCAGAGGTCATATAAAATGATAGGCATTGAGAGTCATTTAAAATAGTAAATGGGTCATTATCATTTTTCAGCCACTCCAAATTAGGAAGGTTAATATCACCAATTACTAATGAGTGATCAAAATCGGAAAGATTATTATAAATATTATCTACAAACTGTTCATAGTTCCTTAAATGAACGGAAGGTGGTATATAGACCGCAAATATGCAAAGTTTTATAAGATTTTTACTATTTCTTAGATGAACTACAATTCAAATATCTTCGTTAAGTCTAGTGTCTTCATTTCTATTAATCCTATGTGATTTAAAATTTCTATTGACGGCAATCATTACACTACCTCCAGTCTTCTTTGAAAATGATTTAGTCAAGTCTCTGTCCCGTTTATATACAGCATAATTATCGTTAAAGAACTCTAAATCGTTGACATTATTTTGTAGCCAAGTTTCCGTTATTACAACAATATAGTACTTATTCATACACATGTTACTGTAAAATTCATAAATTTTTGTATTTAGGCCGCTACAGTTTTGGTAATAACAATTTAAGACAGCAGATTTTGTGCAGGTATACATAAAAAACAACAAGATATGAGTAAATGAGAAGATGAGATTTTTATTTTTCTATACTCTATCTCTTAGCTTAACACCGACTTCAGTATATTAAATTGTTTTATTCTTTTTAAAGTAGGCTGTAAGAGCCGTATGTATATTAAATTATAATTTTTATTATAAGTTTCAACAATCTTCTTAGCCACAACCTACTAACCGTACTTACTGCTGGGCACGTGGGGATAAATCAATGCAGATCATGAAAAAGTGCATGTCATTAACGACTTATTAGCGCTGTGGCTAAGCGTTTGGCTGCGGTGATTCGGGTGGCTGCGGCGGTTTCAACTATTTGTATTTAGTCTATTCTGATCTATGTCTATCTAGCCTATTCACGATACAGGAGACAATTCGAGTGTAGTTTTTTATTTTAACAAATAATACATATTAATTTAATTAATTTGTTTTTTAATATGTATTATTCTTAATAGTATAATTGAATAAAACTATTTTTACGGATTTTATCGCGTTTAATTAACTTATTTTATATTCCCGACGTTTCGGTTGCTTTCCAGCAACCGTGGTCACGGGGGACTGAGGTGATTGACGTCCCGATTTCAAAGTTAACCCGGAGTACCTTCAGCTTTTTAATTATTAATTTTGGTCCGATCTACGCAGAATGAACTAACTGTGTCTTGAAGTCTTACAGTGGTATGCTTGGGTTTAGTTTTAATTTTATGAATTACAGGATCCCAAGCAGGTGGTAGTACCCAGCCTCCCTCTCTATTGAAATTAGGATGTTTTTTAATTTCAATAGCCTCACGTATCATCCTTGGCAGGAATCGATGTTCTTTCGCGAGGACATGTGGTTTATCAAATCTAATGTAATGACGGGGGCCGTCTAGGATATGATCACAAACTGCAGACTTCCCGGAACGTTGGTGCTTCACGTCAGCTATGTGTTCTTTTACGCGGGTTTTAATTGATCGTTTTGTTTGCCCTATATATGAGAAACCACACTCACAATCAAGCTTGTATACTCCTGCATCTTGTAGAGGAATATTGCACTTGACGGATGGTAAGAACTAACTAATCTTCTTCGGCGGCTTGAAGAATGTTCTAATAGAAGCTCGCTTCAAGATGTAGCCAATCTTGTCTGTGACACCTCTGACATATGGTAGTACAGCAGGCACACGCTCGACTGTGGCCGGCTTCACTCGGTCACTGTGACGTAGGCGCGGAACCCGAAGCTTGTTGTCGTGCAGAACCTGCTTGACGTGCTGAAGCTCGGCGGCCAGGTGTTTGCTATCACAGATCCCTCGTGCTCTCTGCAACAAAGATTTGCCCACGGTAGCTAACTGTGAAGGGTGATGGTGGGATTCACCGTTTAAGTATCGGTTTGTATGGGTCTTTTTTCTATACACAGTGTGACCTACGGTGTTATTAGGATTTCGAATGACTAACACATCTAGGAAAGCTAAAGAATTATTTGCGTCTAACTCCATAGTAAATTGAATTTTAGAGTTTATGGAATTAAGATGTTCTAAAAATGCAGTTACTTTGTCTGATGGTAAAATTGTGAAAGTATCGTCTACGTACCGCTTGTAGAAACTTGGAGTTACTGGTGCAGTAAGCAGGGCTTTCTCCTCAAAGTCCTCCATGAAAATATCGGCGACAATGGGAGATACCGGTGAGCCCATCGCAACACCATCTACTTGCTTGTAAAACTGTTCCTTCCACAATAGGTAGCCAGATGTAAGGCAATGTCTGAGTAATACTGCATATTCTGCTGGCATGTTGTTTTCCTCTAGTTTCCTAGTTATAATTGAGATGCAGTCTTCAACAGGTAGGCATGTAAATAGAGACTGAACATCAAAACTGACCATAGTTTCATTGTCAGTAAGACATAGGTCTTTTATCTCACTGACAAAATGGTATGAATCCTTAGTGTGTGCTCTTGTATGTCCTCTGAGTGGTGATAGTACTTTTGCTAAGTGTTGAGCCAATCTGTAAGTTGGCGAATCGATCTGACTCACTATTGGACGTAATGGAGCGTTCGGTTTGTGTATTTTTGGTAACCCATACAACTTCGGCGGTTTGGCACACGTAGGTATTATCGAATTTACGTCTAGATTCAGTTTCTCGGAGTATTTCTTTATTAGATCGCTAGTTGTTTTAAGCGTATTAGTTGTAGGGTCTGTTTTGACCTTTACGTACGTACTTTCATCCCATAAAAGTTGTTGTATTTTAAAATTGTAATCCGACGTATCCATTATAACTTAGCATTACCATTATCTGCGCGGAGAATCGTAAGATCTGGTCTGTTGCGTAAGTTTTTCAATGCAGTAAATTCATCTTTGGGAAGATTTAATTTCGGCGCTGAGCTTCGACGTAACAAGGACGAAATGTCTTGACGTATAGCCTCTAAATCTTCTTTACCAATATTATTTTTATACAGACACGTGACCACGGTGGCTGGAAAGCAACCGAAACGTCGGGAATATAAAATAAGTTAATTAAACGCGATAAAATCCGTTAAAATAGTTTTATTCAATGTGCAGTGTTTGCGTAAATATAAGAAATCATTAATAGTACAATTTTGAAAGGAGACCATACCAACATTTTACTAAGTTAATACCCTAGAAAAGATTTAAGTTCTGGAAATGAAAATCTCAAACTCAGATTTTTTGATTCATGTAATGTATATCCTATGAGAACGGTGCTCACCAGGCCGCCAGACCAAGCCAGCTTGTTTAATATTGCTTTTGCGTATGCTTTATATTTCATATATATTGATAGAGTATGAAAAATTCTACACGTGTCCAACACTGGTTAAAGAAGGACTGAAAGCTTATGCACTGTATTTTAGTTCTATTATTATTATTTTTATTTTCTATTTTATTCTAGTGTTTTTTTTCTCAATTTTTACTCGTAATAAACAAAACATGTTTGGCGACTGCTCGGGAATTCTCGATTGCCAACCCGCTTGCAAAGTGTGACAACTATAGCAAATATCCACCCTATGAGGCAATCTATAGAGAAGGTCTAAGTTCAGCAGTGGACGTTATAGGCTTTTAACGGTAATGGTAATATAATATATGTGGTTTACAATTATGTACTATGTAGCTTCAAATAAAGATTTTTCTTCCTTTTCTTCCTTTATTATTAGTTAATCTAGTGCTACATAAATCAAATCTCCATATGTTTTCAGTTCCATTTTTATTTTTTAATAACGGATGATATTGAAGATGGTGCTACAACTCGACGAGGAAAGATCTGTTGGCACTTATTGCCTGATGTGGGATCACACGCAATTAATGACGCTGGCATGCTTCGTGCATTTATAAGCGAAATCCTAATGCAGTATTTCGGTGGGCAGCCTGTGTATCCTAAAATTGTTGATATGTTTAACAAGGTAAGAATTTAAAAATATTTCCTGGAGTGTCTGTGAATTATTCAATAATTTAAAGTCATTCAATATCAAATATTTAAGGTAAGATTAAAAAAATTTAACTATTTTCTTTATTCAATATATTTTGATGTATATTAAAGTATCGTAAATTCAGACACTCATCATTCTGCATTTTATTTTCATTTGATAAAATTAAATAAATCAATAGTTTTTCAAAAATGTAGACTATAAGTCTAACGTGTGATAGGTTCCTTAGTTACTAGCTGGCCAGGCAGATGTTGTTCTGCCCTTTTCGACGACCCTTCAAGTAAAAATCCTTAAATTCCTAATAAAAAATATTGAGTGTCACTTATCAGGATAAAAACTATCCTATCTCTCAAGTTGGACCAAACTGCACAGAGTGTGCAAAATTTCACTGAAATCAGTTCAGTAGTTTAGGAGTTCATCGCGGACAAACAATGTGACACGTAATTTTTATATATAAAGATTATACGACAAACTGTCATTTTGCTGCGGTAGTTGACGTGTTACCGCGATAAAGCTGTCCTCCTAGAGTAGAATAATATCGCATTACTCTAGAATTTAGGAACCCAATGATTCAGTAAAGGAAAAGGAAAGTGTATATATATATAAGACTTAGGAAGGTTAGGATTCTGCTTTCCAACTAGTTAAGCTATTAATTAGGAGGAGGAGGAGGAATGTTCCTATTTAGGAAGGGAGTAAGGAAAGCGTAATCACATATATGCTGTTTCGTCGACTCAAAGCAGTGAAGAAAGTGCATGTAAGCATTTTTAGTGTGCGGACTGAGTTAATATCCTGAATTCAGTACAGTGTTATCAATCATTCGAAAATCCCTTGTTTTCCTAAATCCTGATAAGGATACCTGAATTCAGGGCAGTGTAATAATAAATAATAAAAAAAATCCACGTTTCTAAGTTTCTATGAAAGTCACTTTTAAAAGAAAGTCTAAGAGCCACATGCTATGCCCACATGTTCGCATTTCTTCGTCTGTCTGTAAATACAATTCAATAGCCCGTATAAAGTCCCCATGCCAAATTTCACATTCTTTAAACGATGTTTATGTTTTAGACATGGCAAAACCATTGTACTTGCACCTGTATTGTGCGTGCAATAGGAATGGAGTAGCTTGATTGAAAAAAGTTCATGCTCTCACAAAATAGATTTTTTCTTTAAAATACCAACATAAAATGACATCACAATCCTTCCATTCATTATAGCCTATAATAGTCCAATACTGAAGATATTATTGCCATATAGGGGGGATTTTGCCATAGTTGCTACGCTTGGCAGGCGGGTTGACAACCGCAGTTTTTTTTATTATTTTGAGTTGTCATCGAGAAGATAATGCTGCCCATTTTCACTTTCAGTGATCGCCTCTTACGACACCCATCCAATGAGCGACCTGAATCAGAGTTTTTCAGGTAATAAATGATACTACGTTAGTCCTCAGGGATATCAACGGTTTACATACTGAATTTCAATTAAGAATTAATGTAGCTAGGTTGCCATCGATAAAGGAAATTGTGTCCACGAAACGTCCATCTTCCTGACATATCCATAGGTTTGACTCATCACTCACCGAATAGAATAATCGATTTTCTTGCATTGCCATCACACAGTTATCTTTAATAGCCTTTTTGATATGATTTTGCTCAGATTAGCTTCTGATTGATAGTTAAAAGTAATTTATAAAATGTAATTATTACTTCGAGAATTTACCATGTACTAAGTTAGGTAACTACGTGTATAACTTGATAACCCTATAAAAACATAATGGCGAGTTCACTACGACTAATTTATTCCAATGAAATATTCGTACACATAGGCACACGCTGTGGAGTGACGGTTAAGAATATCCACTACCCCATATCTTTCCATGGTTGTTGTAAGAGGCTACAGAGGGAAACAGGCAGGAGATGGGCAGCAGCATCTTTATAACAACATCAATAGTACAATAAAAACTGCGTTTACCAACCCGCTCGCCAAGCGTGGGAACTATGGCAAACATCCCCCCATGAGCAACGAGACAAATAAACGGCCGCCAGTCCTCGGCGGCCCCGCTATTCCTTGCTACGGTGGCGACGATGCCACCTAAAACAACTCGACATGACAACTTTTAACGCACGCACCCTGAGGACGGACGAGAAGATCCTCGAGCTGGAAAAATAGATAGACAAGTTGCTATTTCTGCCAGAAGTAGCCAACTGTCGAAGCTAAAGACCGTCACACTTGGTTTAGGTTAGCATTGTTTCAAGGACACCTGAGATTTTGAGCGAGGTTTAGAGGTTCTACGAGCAGCTGTACACATTATCGTTGCAGCCACACGTAAGTGTGAGTAACGATCCAAGAGTAAGTCTTATACGACACTATGCCGACGATATCCCGGAAATCAGTCTAAGCAACATGAGAATGGCTCTCCAGCACCTTAACACGGCAAGACCCCAGCTGAGGATAGCTCTCTTGAAGAACTACAGACCGATTTCCCTTCTGAGCCGCGTTTACGTGCTATTTTTGAGAGTCATTATGAATTGTGTCGCACGCAGACTCGACGACTTCCAGCCTCTCGAATATGCCTGGCTCCGAATAGGCTTTAGTACCGTAGACCACATTACATACCCTTCGGCAAATTGTACAGAAGACTGAAGAGTACAATCTGCCACTTTGTCTTGCGTATGTGGACTATAAGAAATCCTTTGATTCCGTCGAAGTTTGGGCGGTGCTACAGTCTCTTCAGCGGTGCCAAGTTAATTGCCGGTATATCGAAGTGCTGAAGTGTTTGTATAGTAGGCCAACGATAGCTATCCGAGTACAGAAACAAAGTATGAAACCCATCGAACTGCAGAGGGTGACGTTCTATCCCCGAAACTCTTCACCGCAGCATTGGAAGACGTTTTCAAGCTACTGGATTACGGGTAAGGTACGGTATAAACATCAATGGCGAGTACATCACCCACCTTCGATTTGCCGACGATATAGTCCTTACGGCAGAATCGATGGAGGACCTAAGCACTATGCTCAATTACCTCAATAGCGCCTTCCAACGGATAGATCTTAAGACGAACATGGACAAAACAAACATCATGTGTAACGTTTATGTCACACTTACGCTGTTCGTTATTTACCTGGGACAAATATTCCGACTAGGAAAGTCCAACTTCGACGGAAAGGTTCAATTGACGGATTTGGCTGGGCAGCGTTCGGGAAATTACGACACATCTGCTCGTCAGGTATACCTCAAAACTTGAAACCGAGATTGTATAACCAGTGCGTGTTGCCACTGATGGCTTATGGATCTGAGACGTAGTTCTTCACTGCTGGCCGTATTAGGAAGCTGAAGGTCGCTCAGCTGAAGGGGGGGGGGGGGAGCTATGGATTTCTCTGCGTGATAAACTTGGAAATGAGGATATCCGCAGTAGAACCAGAGTGACCGCCATATTCAACGGATGAGTAAGCTGTAGTGGTAATGAGCCTGCGATATAGCTCAAAGAACCGACAACCGATGGGGAGAAAAGGTTCTCGAGTTTGCCAGCCTCGTATCAGCAGGCGAAGTGTAGGGCATCCCCCCACTAGATAGAGTGACGACCTGCTCACGCATGCAGGAAGTCAATGGACGCAGGACAAAGTACGGTCTTGAGACACCTGGCTCAGGACCATACTTTGTCGCATTCCTTGGGGGAGGCCTATGTTCAGCAGTGGAATTGTGAAGGGCTGTAATGATGATGATAAAGACACATAGGTAATACTAGGTGGCGCTACTAGTACGAAAAGAAGAAACGATAAAATATTTAATTATAAACATAAGTTTTCATAAGAAATCAACAAATTTTAATATCCTCGCATAGCAAAATAATGTAAAACCTAAAAATTACATAAATTTACAAGATGTATATTATATAAATAACTATATATAATAACTTCATAAATTGATAATGCTTTCTAGTACAAAGACTTTTGGTTCATATGTCTTGTTGCTTGCCCTCGCAATACACGGCACAACTCACTTTGCTAATATCACATTTGTCTTGGTAAATCACACCTTCAACAGGCCCATGTCTCATTTTTCCTAAGGCATTTAAGTTTAAACGACCTAGTCGTCTGTGCCAAGTCTGCACTGCTGCTGCTGCTAATATTAGTTCAGACTTCACAATGTTTAATTTCTACATATTATTCTCTAAGTTTACTTCACCAATGCTGTCATTCTGAGCGTTGTGTGTGTAACATCCACGTTTGTTGATGGATACCCTGTTACCATTTTCAATCATTCTACCACTTACAACAAATTTGAGGTAAGCCTAAGCTTACCACACATTTGTCAGTACTTACAATATTTTAAGCCTGCCTAAGTAGGCTTAAAATATTGTTTACTTTAATCTCATACTCTGCTCCTTTAACAAATGTAGTAAGGTATTAATCTCCAGAGCATAGAACTCTTACGCTTGTCTGTTTCGCCATTATGATTTCCTTAGTTATCGGCTGATAAGTAATGTTACACATTTTCGTTCGGCACCAGGATTTACATACCAGTCATTTCTATTGAAATCACTAGAGAAAAATACTGCGCTAAAGGAATTTGTATTTTCTTTTTCGTATTCAGACTTTGATTTGGACCCTTATTTTTATCATGACTATCTTTTTTGCACTTGTAGCAAGGTATAACTTTTTTCTTGTTTTGGAGGATATTATTGACATTGACATTACTCGCTGATGGCTGCGTTCCGTTAGTGCTATGTAACTTCCCACGCTTTTGCTTAGCAATAAATGCGCTTTTACTCATGTCTAATAATTTGTTTGCATACGAAATATTATTCATAACTGAATGCTGTATAGCCATTATCATTGACTAAACTTTTCACATAGTCCTGCCAGCAATAACGAGCCGATCCATTCATCGTTTATTTTAAAACCGGTGCCTTTTAATTTCTGGGCGGTTTCCACGAGCTGGTCATGGAGTCGCTGGTCTCTAAATGGATTGATATCAAACTTCCAAGAAGGCTGATCTTCCACGTAAAACCCGAATTATCGGCTAGAGATTTTAACTAGCTCCATAAAGCTCGTACTGTAGCTTCGTTCTTAATATGAGTGTAAAGAGATGGATTTATGGTCATGATGATCTTCGCTCTGGCTTTCCTGTCTTCTACTTACGCTAGTTAAGTGTCATTGTTCAGACCCATACCTTCTAAGATTATGTAGTTTTCCACAGCAAAAGCCCAATCATCATAATTTTCACGTCCCCGTAATTTAGTCACATTCACTGAATAACTCGCAGACATATTTCGGTCGAAAATTTATTTTCACACCGATAACTTAGTACGTTTTGGACTAAGCCCATAACCTATTAAAACGTGGTTTCACAACTACAAATTTATTGTAATTAAATATTAGTACATATAAATAATACTAGGTGGCGCTATTAGTACCAAAAGAAGAAACAATATTTTGTTATAAAGATAAGAAATCAACAAATTTTACTAAATCCGATTGTCTTATTACAGGCATATTTCAAGACGCACATGGGTCAATTTATGGACACCATGTCATGCAGAAACAGGGATTACAATAACTTTACGATGGAAAGATATATAACTACTACTACACATAAAACTTCGTTCTATTCCTGCGAGTTTCCTATATTACTAGCTCTTGCATTAAGTAATAAAGGAAACAAAGAGGCCTATAAGCTAGTTGAGAGTATATGCAGGGACGTAGGATTCTTGTTTCAGATGCAGGTAACTCAGTTTATTTCTAATAAATGAAATTATCATATCATGTCATAAACACACATGTCTGTCACTCAGAAGGGTAGGCAGAGACTACGGACTTCCATTCGGCACGATCCTGACACACCTCTCTCGCCTCCTTTACATCCATATACATACGCATACATGCTCGTCAGTTAAAGGTAGGTGCTCTTAATCTGGCCCATTTCCAATATATCACCAAATTGGTCAATAAACTTTCGTCTAGGGCGTCCCTTCCCGACTCTGCCGTTGTCTTCTGCTACACAGATTTTCTTTGTCACTCTTTCCTTGTTCATTCTTTCTAGATGACCAAACCACCGAAGTATTCCTTTCTTAATTCTGATCACAACATCATCTTGCAAACCACACTTTCCTCTTATGGCACAACTTCTCACTCTGTCGTTCAGATTTAGTCCTAACATACTACTTAATGACCACATTTCTACAGTATTTATTCAACTGTCTTGCTTCTTCTGCCAGACCCAACTTTCACTATGCATGTTTTGACACATTCTGACTCCCACAATAGAGTGTAAATGAATATAATATCTTAATACTAATATAAAATATGTCCCGTTCTAATTTTTGCAATACACCGTCACTACTAAACTTAATGACTTTAATAAGCGTTTATTTATTATATATTTTCATTGTCCCTAGGCCCAAGGATTGATTATTGAAAATAACTGTCACAATTTATGTTTGCATACAACATCTAATTATGATACCTTGATTTATAGGTATCAAGAATATATAATAAAAGAATTACAGAAGTGAAAACAATTTTTCATTTGCCGGAATTGAAAGATATTTAAAATTTTGGTGAAAATTGTGCAAAAATCGAAGTGTTGCAAACGTAAATAGCAAACTACAAATATTGGCTTTTAAGTAGTTATATCAATTTAATGTAAAAAGAAGTTTTTCTAAAATATTTAACGAAACAAAAACATAACTTAGAAATTGTACGTTGGGGAAAGACTACCAGTTTGTCGAAGGCAAGAATATGTTATTCTTTCCCAAAGACAGAAGTAATAAAAATTTTCTTGGTAGGTAATTTTACTTCAGACTACTATGAAAAAACTGTCTTAAGTAACGCAACATATATGAATGTAGGTACAGTACGCGTGCGGTCTGAATTAATTTTGTGATCTTTCATACATTCCGATCAGCCGTCATCTCCGTACTTACCCTTTCTAGCCATATTCACACAATCCATCCCATATCAATATGGCTTGAGGTTTTGAGCTAAGTTAAAGAATGGCCGCCTGGCTGACATTAACATGGGAATGCCTTTATTTCGTAGTTCTGCAGCCCCTCCCTCGGGTGAATCTCATAGACCCATAGTGCGGTCATTTGCGACTACGCGCTATTGAAAGCGAGAGTAATCAAAAGATATTTGAGTTGTGTTAACTAATGTGATTGACAAAATTCTTACATAATGATTTCTTATGTTTACGAGAACATTACACATTGAATAAAACTATGTTTACGGATTTTAGTAGCGAATGAAGAATGAGCTTATAGTATCTTGAAGTCTTACAGCGGTATGCTTGGGCTTGGATTTAATTTTATTAATTATAGGATCCCAAGCTGATGGCCACACCCATCCATCTTCTCTATTGAAATTGGGGTGTTTTTTAATTTCAATAGCCTCGCGAATAATCCTTGGTAGAAATGGGTGTTCTTTTTCGAGGATTTGTGGTCTATCAAATATAATGTAATGGCGGGGACGATCTTGAACATGTTCACAGACAGCAAACTTCCCGGAATATCGGTGCTGCAAGTCAGCTATACGGATGGTAAATGCATTGACAGATGGGTCACACAGCAAATTGCTTGTACCTTCTGCTGACTACCGAACCAGTTAAATATAAAGTACAGGTTACCTCTCCTTTGGGTACATTTGACCACTGTCTGGTGAAATCTGCATCGTCATATTCTCCACCTGATTATGAGCCCCAAGGTGTTCGACAAATATGGCGGTATAAGTCAGCTGATTGGGATGATATGCGACACTTTTTTGCCTCTTATCCATGGCGGGACGTCTATTTCTCTTCTGCGGATCCGTCGATAACGGATGTGTTGCGTCAAGCTATGGAGTATTTTATCCCTTTCTCTGACACTTCTACTGGTGGCAAAGCTCGCCCATGGTTTAACGCTGAATGCGCCGAAGCTGAAAAGCGCAAGCATTTAGCGTGCCTATCCTGGATTGACGCATGCGCCCATGGTTTAACGCTGAATGCCTATCCTGGGTTGACGCTTGAAACCTCCAAGAAGAAAACTTTCAACCTGACCGCCAAGTCCTACAAAACAGCATTACGGAAAAATAGTCTCGATTGCATTAAACATATTGGCGCAAAACACTCTGCCAGACCATCCGGCAGTAGTGATTTTTGGTCTCTCGCCAAAGCGGTCGAGACAAACTTCTGTCGTCCTACACTGCCTCCGCTGGCACACTAGCGCATACGGCTAAAGAGAAAGCGGACCTGTTTGCGTCTCTCTTTGCGGGACCTCTATGTCGGAGTTTTATATAACAAATAAGGAGGTTTTTAAAACCTTGCGGTGTCTAGACGTGAATAAAGCTAGTGGACCAGATAGTATAACAGCTATAGTTCTAAGGGCTTGCGCACATGAGTTGTCTTTTGTGCTGACACGCTCGTTTCGCCTCTCATTTAGGACTGGAATATTGCCAAAATCCTGGAAGCTAGCTAACGTGAAGCTCGTTCCAAAAAAGGCAGCCGTGCAGACCCTGCCAATTATTGGCCAATCTCAATTACCTCCATACTTTGCAAGATTATGGAACGTATATTGAACGGCAGCTTAATGGCATATCTAGAATAGAATGACCTCCCTAGTGACCGGCAATATAGGTTTCGCCGAAATCGGTCATCTGGGGACCTTCTACCGTATGCCACACACGTATGGGGCGAGGAAATCGAGAACAGTGGTAGAGCCACGCGGCGGCATTTGCTGTCGCACGGATGGGCCGGCTCGAACCGGGGTGGTACCACGACCTCACAGAATACCAACGTGAAGTAGAGGTTTACCTCTGCGTTTCGCTTGGTGAGTGCAGGTGGCCGGAGGCCCTTTTTACTGGAAATGAGGCATTCCATCTTAGTCCTCACGGGTGACAACGCATCTGCATTTTGATTCGCAAACGAGGATAGATGTAGATGTCTATGGGCCGCAGCAACCACTTACCATCAGGTGGACTGTGTGCTCGTTTGTCACCCTTATCTTATATAAAAAAAAAAAACAGTGGGGAAGCACTTGCTGTTTCTCTTGATGTCACACTAGCCTTTTGGGTAAGCTTCCAGCGTACGGCTTATACCCTGGTCTGATTGAATGGGTAAAGGACTTTCTAAGTGAACGGTCTCTCCAGGTCGTCGTCGATGTCTGCTCATCCGATTCTATGACGACTAACGCCGGTGTTCCTCAGGGGTCCGTTTTCGCCAGGTATCTATGCGTATGCAGACGATAGCACAGTTGTGGAGAGATACCAACCAAGTCCTCGGGCCAGTCGGGATCAAATCCAGTCAGAAAGAGAAGCTATTGTAGAGCGTGTGAATCTCACACCACTATCTTGTGAAAGTCAACGACACCAAAACACAAGCCTGTCTCTTCACTGCAAAAAGGAGTCAGCTCACCTTGGCTCCTCCTATCCGAAATGTATCACTGGAACATACCGACCGCCTTCAATTGTTAGGGTTTGAGATATCCTCAAATCTGAACTTCGGACGGTTCATTGAGTCCAAGGCCAAAGCATCTGCAAGGAAGCTGGGAGTCCTTGCAAAGGTGCGGCGATAATTCATGCCGGGACAGCTGCTGACTTTATATAAAGCGCAAGTTCGTAAGCGTATTTCGTATTTGATAACGAAACTAGAACAATAATAGCTGATAAATCGCAGATTCGTATTATGTACCAGCGATAACCAAGTCGTAGCTAACTAGCGACCACAAGGCAGCGCTGTCTCTAGTTAGCTTGGTTATTGCTGATACATAATACGAATCTGCGACTTATCAGTAATTATTCTAAGAGGCTTTCGAGGATACAGGATGCATTTCGGAGAGTGTGTGCAGGAATTGTATTATTAAATTTCTCCCTCTCCCTTTTACCAACGGACAAAAAGACGTTCGGCCAGTCTCCACCCTTTCGTTGTTGACTTACCACGCATTCGAACCAAATGCTTCGCCACGTCGTTCATCATGCATACAGCAAAGGAATGGAATAAGTTGCCAGCGTCTGTGTTTCCATCCGAGTATAATGTAGGTGTCTTCAAGGCAAGAGTGAATAGGCTTTTATTAAGTCAGTGCGCTTCACCATCTTAGGCTACATCACCCCTTACCATCAGGTGGGATCGTAGATAAGCGCTGACTTAGTAGAATATAAAAAAATGGTAAATGTTGACTAATCTTTATTTTCGGTTAGTATGGGTCTTTATTCCAAAAGAAAAAGACCCATACCAACCGATATTTAAATGGTGAATCCCACCGTCATCCATCACAGTTAGCTACCGTGGGAAAATCTAAGTAATTGATTATGCAAATTACAATTACATGTAATTTATAAAATAAAAAAACTTTAGATATCTAGCTTTTTTTTCAGAATGATTACCTTGATTATTATGAAGACGAATCAGTGGGAGGAAAAAGTGGAACAGATATTCAAGAGGGAAAATGTACATGGTTTGTATTAACCGCTTTGGAGCACTGTAACTTATCGCAACGTCAGGAATTTTTGGATAACTATGGCAAATGGGAAAAGGAAAGTGTAGGCCGAATCAGAAGATTGTATAATAAATTAGAGTTATCAAAAAAATATGAACAGGAAAAGCAAAAACTTTACCAGACTCTCATTCAGCGAATATATAATCTTCCTGAAGATGTGATACCACCCGGTGATTTTTTGGCGAAACTTGTGAATATGATTTATAATATAAGAAATATAAATTACGATGTAAAAGTTTAGTTCAATTCAAAATTTTGTCATAATTTTATTAAACATATTACGTTTATGATGCACGTTAAAATGTTATATTGTAATCTAAAATGTTAATAAGGTATGTGATATTATTATTACTAGTGGTCGAAATTCAACCGAAATTCATAAATTTTTTAGGTTTGTACTCGCATATTGAGCAAGCTGTATTTCACTTTCAACTTTATATATTAAATATCTAATATACAAAATATAAAATAAACGCTTTTTTGCTTTGACATACATTCCACAGATCCACACATTGAAAAAGAAAATTATTTCATTTTGGTCGATGGGCACGATTATTACATTAAATTATGTAAGGCAAAATTGTTAATATATACATCTTTTAAATTTAAAAGTTAATGAGAGATAGGGCTAAAATGTAACATCACGCATAGTAGACACTAAAGTAAATCAAGTTCCCCGAATAGTGCCGGCGTAAGCGAATCCACTAAATTATATCATCACATGGGTTTCGTAAGAAGCGACGGAAGCAAATGAAGTAACAGGAGATGGCTAGCAGTATCTCCTTGATAACAACTCTTACAACCCTGGCGTAAATTAAAGTCGCATTGGCCCCAAACTGTCATATTTTAGAACCAACGCATATGTGCTATTTAGTTACGCGGTTGGCCCAGCCCTTATGCTAGTAATAAATAAGTCAATGGTATTGCCCCTTTATTTGGCATTGATATTTAATAAATGTGTTGACAAAGGTATTTTCCCCTGAATTTATGGAGAGGTTCTATGGGCAGCTGTACACGTCATCGTTGGAGCCACTCGCAAGTGTGAGTAACGATCCAAGAGCGAGTCTCATCCGACACTATTCCGGACGTCAGTCTGAGCGAGATTAGAATGGCTCTCCAGCACCTTAAAAACGGTAAGGCCCCAGGCGAGGATGGAATTACAGCGGAGCTTCTGAAAGCGGGTGGAAAACCGGTACTTGAAGTCCTTCAGAAGCTCTTTAATTTCGTCCTCCATGGTGGCATTACACCGGAGGCGTGGAGCAGAAGTGCGGTGGTCTTGTTCTTCAAGAAAGGCGCCAACGCTCTCTTGAAGAACTACAGACCGATTTCCCTTCTGAGCCGCGTCTACGTGCTGTTTTCGAGAGTCGTCTCGCGCGCATACTCGACGACTTCCAGCCTCCCGAACAAGCCGGTTTCCGAAAGGGCTTTAGCACCATAGACCACATACATACCCTTCGGCAAATTGTACAGAAGTCCGAAGAGTACAATTTGCCACTATGTCTGGCGTATGTGGACTATGAGAAAGCCTTTGATTCCGTCGAAATTTGGGCGGTGCTACAGTCCCTTCAGCGGTGCCAAGTTGACTGTCGGTATATCGAAGTGTTGAAGTGCTTGTACAGTAGGGCTACGATGACTATCCGAGTACAGAACCAGAGTACGAAACCTATCCAATTGCAAAGAGGTGTAAGACAGGGTGACGTCATATCCCCGAAAATCTTCACCGCTGCATTGGAAGACGTTTTCAAGCTTCTGGACTGGAAAGGATACGGTATCAACATCAATGGCTAGTACATCACTCACCTTCGATTTGCCGACGATGTAGTCCTTATGGCAGAATCGCTGGAGGGCCTAAGCACTATGCTCAATGACCTCAATAGTGTTTCCCAACGGATAAGTCTTAAGATGAACATGGACAAAACAAAGATCATGTTTAATGTCCACGTCACACCTATGCCGGTAGTTGTTGGGAGCACTAAGCTCGAAGTTGTTGACGAGTATGTTTACCTGGGACAAATAGTCCGACTAGGTAAGTCCAACTTCGACCGAGAGGTCAATCGACGGATTCAACTCGGCTGGGCAGCGTTCGGGAAGCTACGATATATATTCTCGTCAGACATACCTCAAAACCTTAAAACGAAATTGTACAACCAGTGCGTGTTGCCAGTGATGACTTACGGAACTGAGACGTGGTCCTTCACTGCTGGCCGTATGAGGAAGCTCAAGGTCGCTCAGCGAGCTATGGAGAGGGCTATGCTCGGAGTTTCTTTGCGTGATAAACTTAGGAATGAGGATATCCGCAGTAGAACCAGAATAACCGACATAGCCCAACGGATTAGTAAGCTGAAGTGGCAGTGGGCCGGCCATATAGCTCGAAGAACCGACAACCGATGGGGAAGAAAGGTTCTCGAGTGGCAGCCTCGTACCGGCAGGCGAAGTGTAGGGCGTCCCCCCACGAGATGGAGTGACGACCTGGTAAGACATGCAGGAAGTCGATGGATGCAGGTGGCTCAGGACCGTGCTTTGTGGCATTATTTGGGGGAGGCCTATGTTCAGCAGTGGACTTGTGAAGGGCTGTAATGATGATGATGATGATTATGGAATACAGTAAAGTCATATCGTTGTACAAAACAGGTTAAAAAAGAAAACCTCGCAATTACAGACCTGTTTATGTATTACCAGTACTAAGCAAAATTTATGAAAAAATAATTCTGGAACAGCTTGAAAAGCATTTTGAATTAAATGAATTGTTCGATGTTGAACAATACGGGTCCACAAAGAAACAATCTACAACTGATGCAGTTAGCATTATTCAAACACATTTATAGAGCTTAGGAAAATAATCAAAATGCTTTTGGTATTTTCAATGATCTTTCCTAAGGGTTTTATTGTATTGATCACAAAGTTCTCCTATGTAAGCTGTCTGACTACGGAATAAAGGATCCATCTCTTGAAATTATTAGATCATATTTAACGGGTCGCATACAAAGGGTGCCATGTAGTGGTGGTTAAGAATATCCACTACCCCATATCTTCCCGTGGGTGTCGTAAAAGGCGACAAAGGAAAACAGGCAGGAGATGGGCAGCAGCATCTTTCTGATAAAAAACAAATTACAATAAAAAAAGCGTTGCCAACCCGCTTGCCAAGCGTGGCAACTATGGCAAAACCCCCACAAATGATGAGAGTAGCAAAGAGATGGCCCCCAGTCCCCGGCGGCCCGTCTCTTCCTGGCTACGGTGGCGACCATGGTAACGGCGGGGCAGGGGGTGCTAAGAATCTCCGGTGGAGATTCGGTTGCCACCTACGACGACTCGACCTGGCAAATTATAACGCACGCACCCTGAGGACTGACGAGAAGATCCTGGAGTTGGAAGGAGAGATAGACAAGTTACGCTGGAATATCATAGGATTATCCGAGGTCCGAATAGAGGGGAAGGACTCGGCAATCCTCGAATCCGGCAACTTGTTCTATCACCGGGAGGGCGACCATCTGTCCCAAGGAGGTGTCGGATTTGTCGTCCACAAGTCTCTCGTTAATAACGTTGCAAAGATTGGGAGTGTGTCGACGAGGGTTGCGTACCTTCTACTCAGAATCACCAAACGGTATTCGCTGAAGGTAATACAGGTTTACGCACCAACCTCGGCACACCCTGATGAGGAGGTGGAGGAAATGTATGAGGATATCTCTAGAGCCATGCATTCCTCCAAAACCCACTATACGGTGTAAATGGGAGACTTCAACGCAAAACTAGGCACAAGAGAGAACGGTGAGCTGAAAGTAGGGAAATTTGGAATAGGGCAACGGAATCCAAGGGCCCAGCAGCTGGCCGACTTCATGGAGAAAGAGGCACTCTTTATGATGAACTCTTTCTTCCAGAAGCGGCCCCACAGGAAGTGGACCTGGTCGAGCCCCGATGGTTCGACAAAAATGAGATTGACTTTATTATGACGACCAGACGACAACTGTTCAGTGATGTCTCACTGATCGCGAGGGTGAAAACTGGCAGCGATCACCGAATGGTGAGAAGCACACTGAACCTAAACGTTAAGTTGGAGAGGTCACGTCTAATGAAGTCAACGCTCCGTCCCCCACGTGCTCTAATCCAAAGTCCCGAAAACTTTCAGCTCGAGCTACGAAACCGCTTTCAGTGCCTAGAAGATTGCAATGCATGGCACGATATAAATGACAAGCTCGTGGAAACTGTCCATGCGGTCGGAGCTAAGTTTTGCAAGACCCGCCGCAGAAGAACACAAAAACTCTCCGATCACACTCTTAATCTCATGGCTGTTAGACGGGATATGCAGCTGCAGTCTTCAGTAGCTTTGACAGCATACAGGCAACTGAACAGAAAGATCTCCAAATGCATGCAGCGGGACTTACGCAACTTTAATACTATTGAAGAAGCGATCGAGCGGAACCAGGGCGCCAAAGTATTTGCTAGAGATCTGTCTGCCAGAAAGAGCCAACTGTCGAAGCTGAAGACCGAAAGTGGCAGCATCTTTTCCGGAACACCTGAGATTTTGAGTGAGATTGAGAGGTTCTATAGGCAGTTGTGCACATCATCGATGGAGCCACACGCAAGTGTGAGTAACGATCCAAGAGCGAGTCTTATCCGACACTATTCCGAAGATATCCCGGACGTCAGTCTGAGCGAGATTAGAATGGCTCTCCAGCACCTTAAAAACGGCAAGGCCCCAGGCGAGGATGGAATTACAGCGGAGCTTTTGAAAGCGGGTGGAAAACCGGTACTTGAAGTCCTTCAGAGGCTCTTTAATTCCGTCGTCCATGGTGGCATTACACCGGAGGCGTGGAGCAGTAGTGCGGTGGTCTTGTTCTTCAAGAAAGGTGACAACGCTCTCTTGAAGAACTACAGACCGATTTCCCTTCTGAGCCGCGTCTACGTGCTGTTTTCGAGAGTCATTACGAATCATCTCGCGCGCAGACTTGACGACTTCCAGCCTCCCGAACAAGCTGGTTTCCGAAAAGGCTTTAGCACCATAGACTACATACATACCCTTTGGCAAATTGTACAGAAGTCCGAGGAGTACAATTTGCCACTATGTCTGGCGTATGTGGACTATGAGAAAGCTTTTGATTCCGACGAAATTTGGGCGATGCTGAAGTCCCTTCAGCGGTGCCAAGTTGACTGTCGGTATATCGAAGTGTTGAAGTGCTTGTACAGTAGGGCTACGATGGTTATCCGAGTACAGAACCAGAGTACGAAACCAATCCAATTGCAGAG